CAGTTTGTTCTAGTTGCACTGCAAAAATCACCTTGTTACGACGTACAATGATTGAGAGCGAATAAAAACAAAATCGATTTTCTAATTTTTGATCCGAATTACCCCTAACGAGTGTATATATATATGTTGACATTATGTAGTACGCGAGAGAAAGGAGAAAAATTATATGATATTCAATAGGAGTAGGTAGGTAGATAGATATACAGCGACATCTTGAATTTTTTATTTGATTACACTTTTATTTTTAAACTTGATAGAAACTACGGAGGCAATAGAAAGTATTTATATAGGAACATGCTAATGTAGTACGAGGATTTTCTGACTATTACATGTTGCTGCTTGTGATTCGCCTCGAACTGTATCCAATCACATCCACTGTGTTTCACTTTCTCTGCAAATCTATTTATAAATTTATTATTTCTCCGATATCCCAGATTTTTATATTCAAATTTTTTATATGAGGTGATTATTTCGTATGTTGTCCATGTACAGGGTTGGAAATAATATTTTGATATGGGGGTACTGCTATAATTTCAAATAGAGTAAATAATGAATTTTATACCAAATGAAAGCTCGTCGAAAACGGGATTTATTGGTACTAAATAGTAATAGTTATGGAAACTTTTTAACATCGAACTTAAGAAATTGGCAGAAATTTTCTACATTTTTTCGCGTAGAAAATCAAGGCGCCAGTAATTCAGAAATGGAGTCAAATTTTTTCTTCGATATTTTCACATAGTTCGATAAAGCTCGTCGAGCTCTATAAAACTGTACATATTAGAAGTTTTTTAAGCCATTGTTCTGAGATAAAAAATTCAAAAACTAGTTGGAATAACCTTAAAAGATGTTAATAAACGCATTTTTTTATATCGAAGAAAAACACTCGAGTTTTCAGTAAAATTAGCTTTTTTCATTTTTTTTACTGTCACATACGCTTCGAAATATACTCATCAGATGTAGCGTGAAAAACTGCGTCTAGTGCGTATATTTCGAAGCGTATGTGATAGTAAAAACAACGAAAAAGCTAATTGTACTGAAAACTCGAGTGTTTTTCTTCGATATAAAAAAATGCGTTTTTCAACATTTTTTAAGATTTTTCCAACTAGTTTTTGAAGTTTTCATCTCAGAAAAATGGGTTAACATTTTTTTAATATATATAGTTTTATAGAGCTCGATGAGCTCTATCGAACTATGTAAAAATATCCAAGAAAAAATTTGACTCCATTTCTGAATTACTGGCGCCTTGGTTTCTATGCCAAAAAATGTAGAAAATTTCTGCCAGTTTCTTAAGTTCGATGTTAAAAGGTTTCCATAACTATTACTATTTAGTACCAATAAATCCCGTTTTCGACGAGCTTTCATTTGGTATAAAATGCATTATTTACTCCATTTGAAATTATAGCAGTACCCCCCCCCCCTCCCCTATCAAAATATTATTTCCAACCCTGTACATTACACTGATACGCCATTTGCCATTAAATAACAGTCGATCGAATTATATGTATAAAAATTAGCGCCTGCTGTGCTACCTCGAATAGTACTATTCACTGTTGATTTGCATTCTTCTATTAGCTTTTCTTTGAAAATAAATCAACTATAATCGCTTTTGTAAGGTAATTCCTGTTTAAGATTAACACTTTGTAAGGTTCATTATGGAAAAGAACGATGGTAATAGTTTCTTTTTTCTTTCCAGTCCGAATTTGACATTTCTGCCCAGAAAGCTCAAGCGAGAACAATAGTATGAAGTAATAATAACGATTCGAAATCTATATTAGTATTCATCTTAATGGTTTTCATGATTGGCTCATAATTTCTTATTACTATTAACTAGTTGTCTTTGTCATCACCAAAAATTATTGATCTTCGATCTTTTTTAACATCAGTGCTCATCTGCAAAACACAAACTCATCAAAAGTCATAGTAAGAAGACAAAAATGGCGATGACAACTGATCCCGAACAGTTTGAACTTCAAGCAATTACTTTTGATAATGAATTTTCGGATGATAGACGATCAATAATTGGCAAAGACGTCGATAGGAGAGATTTAGCGTACAACTTTGACGCACTTCATCTTAACTTGGATGTAGAAGAAAGACTTGATCTACAATAAGGGATAGTTCCAATAGAAGATTCTAATAATAGACTGGATTGTCCTATAACAAAAAATCATCGAGTTGTAGACGTTATTCCTCACGTATTAGACTTGACAGAATTGACTGTTACGAACAATATTGCAACAGATCTCAGTCCTATTGTTGAGTACGCGAGAGAGCTTTTGCTATCACTTACCGAAGCATGAGCTGAACTGGGAATAACTTTTGAATCAGTAACTGTAGACGAGCCCTTGGAATCAGCTTGTATGATCGTGTAGCGCGATCATTTTCAATAAATTCTAACTTTATAGTTGGAGGAAAGTAAGGTCAACTTATTCGATTCGATTATCGAGATTCTGATCTGATAAACATTAGAGAAAAGGCTCGATTCTCAATGTACTGTTTCAACACTGAAACATGATTGCAAAAAAAGGATTCTTTCGGTTTATCTCACTTTAAGTCGCCTCCACAGTACTGTTAACTAGTATCAATTCAGACTAGATAATATTGTATAATTCAAATGTGAAAGAATATTTAAAGGCGTATTTTACTTATCGATCGATCATGTGACCATTTGTAAAGAGAATGTGAAATATTCAAAATAAATAAGCAATGAATTTGGTTAGACAAGACATGAGACTTCTGTTCACGTTTGCTTCCCACTAGTTTGTGTGAATCAAATCTAAGATATGCCATATTTTTTAGATTTCTCAATAATACGCATGCAGAAGTATGAAATAAACATGCCTGGTAAGAAGACCTTTAGACACTATATTTGATTTCGATACTGGTCTCTTTCCAGTTCGAAGACAATCTGCATGCAATTATCAATTTGAAAACTCAGAGCGCAGGTCAGTACAAAGCTCTGGATATTTTTTCTTCGAGCTATTAACATGATAGAATGAGGGTGAGACAAGGCAAAAGAGAATGTCTTGTCGTTCACATCTGACTCACAAGGCAACGATGAATAAACGGAGTCACATTCCTGTTCTTGTGCTTCCAAAACCTCAAACTTCACCAAAATGTTTTTTCCATATATTCTGTTGTCTGAAATGGATAATTTGAAATTGTAATGCTGTATTCATAAAACCAAACATATGAACAGAAGTACTTCTCAATACAGTCTAGAAATTTGAAAGACCTTGGTTTTCCAAGCAAAATATTTTCTTTTGCTCAGGAACAGATATGCTTTTATCTCCTATCTCCTATGGTGAAAACCGCAACTCTTTACGATGTTTCTATCAAAATCTATTCTAAAAAGACTCACCCATCTTTTTCTGAGTACGCATTAATCTAATCAAATCTTATAGAATACGAAAAGCTATTAAATCCTATCGGAATTCTTATCATTGAATTTTGATAAATTACAATGAAATTCAAATCAGAATTTGACAGCAGGATCATTCGTTTTAAATGAATACACATATTGCCCTTCATAAGAAAGCGGAAACGTGAATTAAAAAAAGGACAGAACACATTCACCTGTTAGTAACTATCGACTAATTAAAGAAAAGATGAATAGTTGACTAAATCTCAGCGATAAATCAAGACACAGTCACAAATCTATAGAAACGATAGTCTACCTTTGAATCAGCTTGATTTCAAAGAAAACTATATGACTCTGACATTGAAAATTATCTCTCTGTCATTTATTTTCTTTATTTTATGTTGGATAAAACGAGACAAGCTATAAAACTGTGTCTGCTATAGTCCGATTACACTCCATCTTTTACGTCATCCATATTGTGAAGATTGAATACTTTTCTATCCAAGAGGAAATATAATTCAGCTGTTGATTAGGTTTCTCAGTTCGATCTACAAGAAAGTAATATTTCTTTATCAAACTCGATTCTTTCGATGTATTCTTGTATTATTAATTCTTACTGTGATTATTTATTCGATTTGGAAATCTACGTTCATATCCACTTATGAACATGAAGATGATGGTAAATAATAATTGAATAAAATAATGAAATCTGTTTGTTGTTTTTTTGTTAGTCAATATTTATGAATTTGTACCAGATTTTTATCGTCGTTTTGTTCTGAACAGTTGTAAGACTTATACTGTTACAGATCTTATTAATATAACAAAACTATCGAATAACAACAAAAATGATACATTAAATTCAGCTGAAAATCCTATTCATCTTATTAGTCAATGGTATTATGAAACAAATATTCGACGACGAAAAGAATTAATATCTGTTTTATATATGAATGTTATTAATGATGCTATATCAAAAATTCATTTTATACAAAACTCAAAATCATGTACGGTATTTAATGATATTAAAATTGATAAATATTTTCCAACTGATATTTTGAGATCTAAATTAATTATTTATTATGATGAAAATTTTAATAGTAATCAACGATTAACAACAAATCAAGCACTTCAATATGCAAATCATTTTATTACAACTGGTTATACAATATTACTTAACTTGGATATTTTTTTCGATCAATCATTAGCAATTTTAAAACATCGTACTTTATTTGATAAGAAAATTATTTTTTATTTATCTCGTTATGAAGTTGATCTATCGTTCACAACGGGCGTAAAATGTTCAAATGAATACTATAAGGGAAGTCATGATGCATTAATTTTCCAAACACCAATACCAAACGATGTTATAGAGAAACTTCCATTTGAAATGGGAACATGGTTTCTTGAAGAAAAAATTATCCATGAACTTACACAAGCAAATTATACAGTCAGAAATCCATGCAAATCAATAAGAATATGGCATGTACATTTGAGTCAAGTACGTCATCGATTAATGCCAGCGAAAAAGTACTTAACTCCTGAACTTCGGAGGCAAGCTTTGCGTTACCCGGAGTTTTTGTGAACATTTACTGGTATATGTCAGATGTTACATGTAATAGAGTGTAATACTAATACTGATTCGATTGACTTAAAGGAATAATTGTATAGCTGTTTTAATCTATAATATTTACATATCTTTTCAAAAATAAATTTATAGAACAAAAACTACGATAATGAATGCTCACTGTATCTAACGCAATTTTATTATGATTATATTATATCCAGTAGTAGAAATCTAATGTGATGCTTTCTAGTACTTTTAACAAAATGGTATACATCCACGTTTAAAAAAATTCTCCGATTGTCTTTATTTCAAGATCACATAATGAGCTACAATTATGAATTCATGTTTTCTTTTTCGAGGCATCTTCAGTCTATGGTAAAACACTTTAGCCAACGATCCGAGACAAGGGGGAAAAAGCGGCTCCTGGCAGCTCCTCATGGATCCTAGAATCCACCAGGATCCATTCGGATCCATAGATCCCACCAGGATCCATCAGGATCCTCAGATTCCACCAGGATCCATCAGGGTCCACAGATTCCACCAGAATCCGCTAAGAATACGGCGTTTTATAGAAAATTCTCATGATACATGATTTAAGATAAATTTTTCGAATAATTTTAAAATAAATAAAGTTATCACTCGAAGAAAATAGTAAGCATTTATGAATTTAAAGGTAATATGGAAAACTTTCAATAATTGTAGCGTGTACTTTTTCACCTATTGAAGTGTCTTTCTATTTTTTGTCCAATTGCTCAAAAAGCACATGGCCGATTTTAATTATGTAAAATGCGAAAAGGCAATGGATAGATTTACATTTCTTACTAGTTACTTTCATACTTACAGTAATTGTTTTATCAAAACTAATTGGTTTTTTAAATACAGAATTTTCTAGCAGAAAAATCCTTCTTCTCATTATGAACTATTTCCTCGTTGTGTTAATAATAATCATTTTTTATAAAGTTGGAAATTCCAATGAGTACATCATTATGATTTAATTATCAACATTTCATTTAGAAAAATAAATCATCAGCTCTTGTACATTTTTATTCAAATACAGAAATGAATAGTTTCAAAAAAAGTAGTAAGTATACATAAGTTATTCTTGTCTATTAGTTTGTTGGACTCTTGATAACCTGCTAGATGATAAAGAATTTTTGGTTTTAGTTAATAGACGCGCTGCTGTTTGCTTGTGAATAAATTTTTGTTTATTATTAATCGAGATTGGAAAATAGTTATGCTTTTTCGATTGATCGATTTGTTCATAGATTTTCATTCCTTTAAATGTTTGTTTTGAAGTTATCATATTATGTACATTTTGATTGTCATCATTCAAAAAATTTTCGCTTGACTCATCATCAGCATCTGAACATTGATTTGTATTATCATTCGCATCACAAGTTTCATCGTCGGAAATTTCTTCAATATATTCATCGTTCATGAAAGAGTAATCTACGATTAATCGTTCACTGAGTTCGTAAAATACGAATAAGTTTAATTTTTTAAAATCATTTAATTCATTCCTCTTTAAAGATTCCGTTAACTTTAACTCGTTCATGATTGACTCTGCTTTTTTTATATGCTTTCAGAATTATCTTTTCAATATCAATTGTTGTTATTGTGTTCAGATTTTGGTTGTTGGCAGCTTTAGATGATTCATTACGTAGATTTTTATGATGAATCGGAAATTTAAGTGAACATGTTGTGTTATTGGATTCTTCTGTGGATTTAATTCTATTTAAAGTTGATATTTTTTCAATTTTATTCATAAATGCAAAGACTGAAAAGTTTGTTACTGACGAAAATGTGCCACTTAATGATCGTGCACTGCGAAACGTTGCTTCACATGGTTGACTACTGAAAAGATATACATTTAATGCATATTCTGGTAACTCTACTGATGACACTAAAATTATTATAGATGTTAAGCAATGTATATTGATTTCTGAAGAAATCCAAGCAGCTTTAGTTATAAAACAATTATCTTTTTCTATTTCAGATAAATCTTGTTTGATTCTAAGACTACTCCTAAAAGTCATAAATGAAATAATTAAAAATGTTAATAATTTTTTTACCACCACAC